TTTCGAACGATGTCAGAGGAAATTCCAGGAATTTCGTACTCTTGTCACAATCAGATGGTCAGTATCAATATTTGATGTCTCGGAAATAAATTAATTGAGCCTTATTTATACAAAAATAATTTAAATGGTGCTCAGTTCCTCAATTTTTTGAGGGAGGTTTTACCAACGCTATTAGATCAAGTTCCTCTGTTTCGGCAAAAAATGATTCTCTAGCTTGACGGATGCCCCGCACACAATACACTATTTGAATCGTCGCCTCCCGGATAGGTGGATAGGACCTCATGGCCCGATCCGTTCGCCTCCTCGGTCTTTGGATTTAACTCCACTTTTTTCTATGGTGCCATTTAAAAAACAATGCCTACGCCAATCATAACCCTGCAACCTGAGCTGAAGAACCGAGGCAAAGGATAGAGAAGCTTGTCAATCCATCTCCCCTGACTCTATCGCATTGATCTCTGATGAAGAGTGGTTAAAAAGAGCAAATCTTTGCAGGCAGTTCGAACATGGAATGTGATTAATAAATAGCAAATAAAATGCTTTTTTGTTTTTGTACTTTTTGCCATAACATTGTCATTTTTTGACCATTTTAAAATCCGATTATACCATTGTTTTCAACGTAAAAAAATTCTTTAATATGGTGTGTCAGGATTTATAGGGTCGTAATCGAAATGTTGAAGCTGAACTGGGCCTGAGGTACCCTGTATAATTTTTCTCCAAAAAGGTAAACATTTGAAAGTAGACTAAAAAATATTAAACGCTTTTATTAATAGCGTCATTGGTTCAAGATAAATTCAGCCGGGCCATCTAATAAAAAGGACACCCTGTATACTGCCTACTGTACCCCTCTAAAGACTTACATACCCCTTGCTTTATACGCAGACGACGACACATCCTTTTCAAAACCCAAATATAGCTCCCTCCAAAATCCAAGCCAAAATTGTTACTATAAAAATTACAGCTAATAAAAAATCTTTTCATCCTGAAGACTATCGTAAACTTACGATATAGAGAGAGAAAGAGAGAGAGAGAGAGAGACCTACAAATTGAATAATATACAAAATATAATGGCATGGCTAATGTCGTCCGCCAGAGTTTGCATAAATTGTATATACGTATTATTCGGAAATAGTGAGATGCGGTCTGGGGTGATGTAGGTTTCAGAAAAACATTTTCTTTATCGTGCCAAGCGTTTTTGGTTTATTTTATTATTATGGTCCAACCTGACCGTATAACAGACGAAAAGGCACCATTGTAAGGCAGTAACAGACATGACAGAAGACATTAATAGAAAATTGAAATTGTATTCCTCGAGTCTTCAATTACATGAGGTACTTTCTATTCTATTATCGGGATGACTTAAACTTTTAATTCAACACTTCGCCCCTCAGCATGGGCATAATAAACATTAATTACGAAAAACCTGTAATGATATAGTTATCGACCAGCAGTTGTGAATCTAGAATGGATCAAGGATGTAGTCCTATGAGTAAAACTTTTAAACATGGCCAAGTTTTCGGCTTTTATAACTTTCGCCTTCCTCAGGACAATTTATGAAAAATATAGATAGTCCATATAAACTCTCACATGGAAACATACTATTTACAAAAACAATTTAGGATTTTAACTATTTTTAAAACAACTTTTGATCAATCGAAAACGATAGGGAGTTACAATAGTTTGTTCATTGGACCACATCTCTGATCTGCTTCTATATTTAATTAGCAAAAAGTCAAAAGAACTTATTTTAATCGTTTTCGAAAAAGTATAAATTTCTATTTTAATATTATTTGAAATGGAGACAGCCATATTTACTTCTGAAGTAACTCATATTAAACAAGAAATGCATGGTGATTAGTGGCCGTTAATCGATATTTATTTAGAAATCGTGAGATGCGGTCTGGGGTGATGTAGATTTCAGAAAAACATTTTCTTTATCGTGCCAACGTTTCGATCTTTATTGAGATCATCTTCAAAGCCTGGGATTTACAAACATTGTTTAAATTTAACAAATACATATAAGATGTGGAAAAAAGTGCATTTATACAATGCAAAAAAATATTTTTATACTCAATCAAAGTATTTCTACTCACTCAAAGTGTTTGTTTTCTGCGTATTTGTACCATTCGTGCAGGTGAGATATTGCTGTTTTATGTGTATATACGTTGGATTTTGAAGGAGTGGGGAAGGAAGTCAGGTCAGTATAGAAAGACATTTATGTATAAGGAGCCGGCTTCTTTGAGGTGAAAATAGCCGACGAAAGGAAAAAACGTTGGTAAAAGTTCGGCCAGATTATCCTTTCAGGATTATATAGATGGGAATAATTAGGAAAAGGAAAGCTAAATTGTTGAAAAATTAGACTACGTAAAAATGTTTGATGTGTGGAATTTGATGAATGTTTTATATGTTATATTATATGTTTTGTGTGATGTGATGTATATATGAATGTTATCGATATTGAATTTGATTAATGATATTGGCGTAGCTGCGACCGAGTTTACATGTGTCTGTTCTGTAATAAAGTTACGTGTATGTTTGTTTTGTTCTGTGTGTAATATTTTTGGATTGTTGAAGTCGAAACTGTGTTTGTGTTCAAAATCGTGGGTAGCGAGTGGTGTAGGATTTTGCTTGGGTTTTTTGCAATCATAGGTATGTTGTTTTACTCTCTTGTTCAGATATTGGGATGTAAGACCGATGTAAGTCGCCGGACAGTTTAAACAATTGATTTTGTAGATTACATCAGATTTATTTGTTATTGGTATGGGATCTTTAATTTTGGAAAAAAGTGTTTGAATTGTTTTATAATTTTTGAAAGCTATTTTAAAGTTATCGGACGAGAGAAACGTGTTTAATTTATGTGATAGGCCGTGAATGAATGGCATGGAAATGTATGTTGGTTTGTCTATATTTGATAGATTTGATGTAGTATTATTGTGGATGGTGTTAGTGTTGAGTTGTAATTGTTGATTATTCTGTTGATTATGTGTTTAGGGTAGTGATTGTTATGGAGGATCTGTTTGTATATCTTTATGTTCTTGTGGTGGAATGATTCATGGCTTAGGATAATCATTCTGTGAAGTAACCCTTTGGCCGTGTTTATTATTGTATGAAGAGGATGGTGAGATGTAAAGTTGAGGTAGCGATCTGTGATAAATGTGCCATATGGTTGTTTTATTGCGAGTATATCTGAAAATGGTATTGTTTTGTGGTTTTCGATTTCATGTGTAAATTGTAGGCGTGGGTGAAAGCTATCAAATATATTGATGTATATAAAATATATGTATGTATTATAAGTATTCAAGAAGAAGAAAGGTCCACGAAACATAACTTTGCGTTGTTAAATGGAACGTTTAATCAACAAATAAATTTCGTGTGTGTGTGGTGTGATCAATCTGTAAAAATCTCATTTATATGTCTTTAAAACATAATATAAAAGTTCACTAATTTCGTGATCCGCTTGACCAATTAATATATTACAATTAATTAAGGTTTTTAGCTGACATAAAAAAGTCAATGGCACGAGCGGGATTCGAACCAATGATCTTCGGCTTGATACGCCGCTGCTCTACCACTTGAGCTATATTGATTTCGATCCACTCGAACACTTCCCATCTCAACCCCACCTCTCGAATTTTCCCTCCTTTTTGCCATTTTTCAAATGTCGTGTAATCGGATCGACGACAAATGAAATAGCCACGGAGAGCTTTAGTGAAGTATACTTCATTTTTAATCATTAAATTTACTAATTTCGTGGTCCGCTTGACCAATTAATATATTACAATTAATTAAGGGTTTTAGTTGAGATATGGCAAAAAAGGAGGGAAAATTCAAAAGGTGTGGTTGAGATGGGGAGTTGGTGTCCGAGTGGATCGAGGTCACGACAGCTCAAGTGGTGGAGCAGCGGCGTATCAAGCCGAAGATCGTGCGTTCGAATCCCGCTCGCGCCATTGACTTTTTTATCTCAACTAAAAACCTTAATTAATTGTAAGCTATTAAATATATGTATGTATTATACGTATTGTATGTAAAATGTGCAACGCACGTCAAGAAGAAGAAAGGTCCACGAGACATAACTTTGCGTTGTTAAATGGAACGTTTAATCAACAAATAAATTTTGTGTGTGTGTGTGTGTGTGTGTGTGTGTGTGTGTGTGTGGTGTGATCAATCTGTAAAAATCTCATTTATATGTCTTTAAAACATTATATAAAAGGATTTTTAATGTTTTACAGTGAATAATTCGCCCGTTGGGCCTTGCGTCCAATAAGAGCGACAATATGTGAAAAGGTAGAATTTTCGAATCCTTCCGAAAAGTCATGAAAAGGGTCGATGTCCTTTTGCGGTCTTTTCTGTCTTTGGTGTACACTAAAGATTCTAAGGCGATCAATTCGATTTTTGGTAAGATGTCTGCTAAAACCTCTTCCATTTTGCCGACACAAAGCTCAGATGCCTTACCCATTTCGCGCGTAGAGATGCGCGTGAAAACGCTGTTTCGCAGTTTGCAGCTTTCAGCTCCCAGGGACGCGAGTCCTTAACAAAAAGTTTAACTCACATTTCACTTTCAATTCGCTATAAAAATTACATTATTGTACATTTTTGTTATCCACCGATTACAAAGATATATTCGTAACCTATTTTCACGACAGTTTGATTCACCGTTAGCCATTTGGCACTTCATAGTTTAAAAAAATTGTTATTATAAATAAAAAACGACGAGTCGAGTAATAAAACTTTTCCAACCTTGGCAAATGGAAGAGGTGATTTTATCGTATCTTCCACGCGCCGTCAACGACCAGTGAATCTCAGCTATAATTGACCACCTCTTCCATTTCAAATGGTGTGTGTCGTTTTAAAATCGTTTGGAAACTTGGCATTAAGTGATATTATACTCTCATGTTTCCAAACCATTACCCGGTTTATTTTTGTATTTGCCTCTGTCAAAATCAGTCATGAGATTATTGTAGAAATGTGTGGTTAACCGTTGCGCAAATAACTTTCTGTTTCAGGCGAGGAAAAATTTGAGGGGGATAAGAAAAAGAGGCCAAGAACCGCCTTCACGTCATCCCAAATCAAAGCTCTTGAAACTGAATTTGAACACAACAAATATCTTTCTGTCGCTAAAAGAAGCCAACTTTCAAAAACACTTAAATTGACGGAAACACAGGTGAGAAAAAGAACAATAACACTAAGCTGGCCTATATTTTTATCAAGTATAATTTATAGTAATTAGTTATAATTCATTTTAAGGATTGAAGAAAAAAAGATTCGTGTTTTGTTTTGTTAAATATTTATCCTCTTATTATTAAAACTTAATTCTTTTTTGTTTCTATCGCCTCTTCTATGTAGGGGAAGACACCACATGTACATTTACGTTAAACGTTCCAATTTTTTCTATCAATGTTAGAGGGATTTGCTGCTACTTACTTTGAACTGTAGGTATTTGGCAAAACGTTTTGAGTACATCATAAAATTTGAACTAGAAAAACAACTTTATTCTAATAAAAACTAAATAGAGTTTTTTTTAAAAGCGTTTTTATGACTTTGCAGTAATTTCTAAACTTTTTTCATTTTTTTCTATCAAAGTTAGAGGGATTTGCTGCTACTTACTTTGAACTGTAGGTATTTCGCCAAACGTTTTGAGTTTATAATAAAATTTCAACTAGAAAAACAACTTTATTCTAATAAAAATTAAACAGAGTTTTTTTCAAAGATAATTTGCTGACTGTCTCATCAATCCATATTGTATATCAATTTTTAAAAAACTATTTAATATTAATGTGTGGTGATTAGTGACCGTTAATCGATAATTATTCAGAGATCGTGAGATGCGGTCTGGTGTCATGTAGGTTTCAGAAAAACATTTTCTTTATCGTGCCAACGTTTCGATGTTTATTGAGATCATCTTCAGGGCCTGCGATTTGCAAACATTGTTTACTTTTAACAAATACATTTAGGATGTGGAATAGTGAATTTATACAATGCAAAATATATTTTTTATATTCAATCAAAGTATTTCTACTCACACGACACGCAAGAATGGCACAGTTACACCGAAGACAAACACTTTGAGTGAGTAGAAATACTTTGATTGAATATAAAAAAAATACATTTTGCATTGTATAAATTCACTTTTCCACATCCTAAATGTATTTTTTAAATGTAAACAATGTTTGTAAATCCCAGGCTCTGAAGATGATCTCAATAAAAATCGAAACGTTGGCACGAAAAAGAAAATGTTTTTCTGAAACCTACATCACACCAGACCGCATCTCACGATCTCTGAATAATTTAATATTAATAATACATCCATGAAGCTAAAGCTTTTTAATGCACTAATGTTTCCCAATATAATTTATGACTTTGCAGTAATTTCTAAACTTTCTAGTAAAACACTTCATAAGTTACATATACCTATAAATATGTGTCTTCCCTATATCTGCAATCTACACTGTTATTCTAAATTTATCACAAATACTATAATTTATCCATTTTAAAAATTTATGATTTGTTAAAATACGAAATTTGGATTACTTTCCATGACATAATAACAATACTAATTTCTAATCTTTCTAGTAAAAATCTTCATAAGTTACATGTTACTATAAAAATGTGTGTATTCGCTATATCCGTAATCTACAGTGTTATTCCATAATTTATCACAAATACTATAATTTATCCATTTTAAAAATTGATGATTTGGTAAAACACAACATTTTAACTATTTTCCATGACATAAAAACAATATTAATTTCTAATCTTACTAGTAAAAATCTTCATAAGTTACATGTTACTATAAATATTTCGCTTATCTGTAATCTACACTTTTTTTTACGAGGGTTCGCAACAGCAGAGGTCATATAAACCTTCAGGGTGCCGGTGTGAAAAAAGCCCATTTGTAAGTATGTCCGGTTCGAATGCAGGACCGCTGGATTCGAACCCGGGACCTTTACCTTACAGTGATGAGCGTCGTGTCAACGCCTAAACCGTTGCGCCCCCCCCCCCTACAGTGTTATTCTGTAATTTATCACAAATACTGTAATTAATCCATTTTAAAAATTTATGATTGCGCAAAAACAAAACATTGACTATTTTTCATGACATAATAACAACATTAATTTATAATCTTCCCAGTAAAAATCTTCATTAGTTACATATTACTATAAATATGTGTGTTCGCTACATCTGTAATCTACACTGTTATCCTATAAGATATCTATTTTAAAAATTGATGATTTGTTAAAATACAACATTTTGACTATTTTCCACGACATAATAACAATACAAAAACCATAATACCCATTTGATATTTTTTCTTATTTTAAAGTTAAAAAAACTACTTTTACACGTTCTCAAACTGCATTTAAAATGCCATTCTGTTGTACACACTATTTTTAGAATTCATTCTTTCCTAAATTTATAAAACTTTTCATTCACTTACCCAATGTTAAAAAAACATTTACATCTAAGCATATTTGTAAGTAATATCTAAAAGATTTTCTCTAATTAGATTAAGTTCAATCATACTCAGTACAACTTCAATAATATTTAAAAATATATAGACATAGATATATAGTACATATATCTATATACAGGGTGAATTGCTACTCGTGCTACAAACTTCTCCAGTAGATTCTTCACCCTAAAATGAACAAAAAAGTTCATATTGTCCATGGTCCGATTCTCAACCATTTCAGAGTAATTTCGNGGTCTGGTGTGATGTAGGTTTCAGAAAAACATTTTCTTTATCGTGCCAACGTTTCGATCTTTATTGAGATCATCTTCAGGGCTTGGGATTTACAAACATTGTTTACATATTACTATTACATTTTTATACTTTGAGTGAGTAGTTTCTCTGAAACCTACATCACACCAGACCGCATCTCACGATTTCTCAATAAATATCGATTAACGGTCACTAATCACCACATTAAAAATATAAATAATAATACGAATTGAAAATTAAAAATCGTTATACTTGAACTGTTCTAACTGGAGCTAAACGAAGGGGACAGCCTCGCCTGGCGTTATTTTAGAAGTTGTCATCTTATCATATTTTACACGAAATATCTGCTAAATCATAGCTCGTTATCATAGGCCATCGAGTAATAGGTTGATTTATAATTGGCTGCGGTCGTTTTCGTAAATAAAAACGTTTTGATACCATTACATTTAGCGACCTCCGCATTTTTCTTTATTTTTTTTTTTCTTTAAAGATAGAAAACATCTGGGATCGACTTAGATCTATAGATAGAGTTTAAGAATTTAGAAATAAACTATGAATACGCACGAATCATCGTATGTTCTGATTTAAATTTTGTATCCAATGATGGTAAGTACTGTTAGTAAAGAAAAACTTTTTTTTTTAAATAATTAAATTTACCCAAAGACGGCTAGTTAAAAAACTGAATAAAATGAATTACTTTTACAAAGGTTGTTTTGCTACTCGTATTACAAACTTTGCCCGTAGATTCTATATTCAAAATGGAACCAAAAAGTCCTAATTAACTATCGTCCGAATCTCAGCAGTTTCAGAGTTATTCCACTTTTTTTGATTTTTTAAGATTTCACGACCTTGCTTCACATAAACAATGATAACTCCAAAACTAAAAGGTTTTGGACAAATCCGTTGATACCATTGGAAACTGCGTTAAATTTCCAATACGATTTGATCAATACTAAACTTGTAAACCTTGGTGAAAAAGCGTTTTAGTAGAGAGAGCTTTGAAAAATAATTTTTTTTCAAAGTTGAAAAACTTACTATGGTGATTCTAAACTATTTTCAAACCTAGAGACCAGCAAATTTTAGAAAACCTACTCCATTTAATACCATTTTTAGTGGTGCAATTGCTTTTTTAATTACTTTTTCAAACATGAAGAAATTGGTGAAGGGAAAGAAAAAACCGTGGTTGAAGGATTGGTAAGATTGAAAAAAGTAATTAAAAAAACAATTGCACCACTAAAAACGATATTAAATGGAGTAGGTTTTCTGAAATTTGCTGGTTTCTAGGTTTGAAAATAGTAGTTTAGAATCACCATAGTAAGTTTTTCAAAAATAATTTCAAAGTCCTTGCTACTAAAACGCTTATTTCATTCATCACATCTTATTGGAAATTTAACGTAGTCTGCAATGATATCAACAGATTTATCCAAAACCTTTTAGTTTATTTGAAGGTCGTAAAAAATCATAAAAAGTGAACTAACTCCTAAACTGTTGAGTTTCGGACCATAGTTAATTACTACTTTTTGGTCCGTTTTTGAATATGGAATCTACTAGCAAAGTTTGTTTTTAAGCCAATCGCTTGAACCGTTGCATGCCCACCGAAACATGTCCCCATTCAAAAGTTTAATAACAGTCATCCTACTAGGAAGTCTCGTACTAGTCAAATCTCCCTCTAATAGGCCAACTGTACAAAAAGGGGTCTCCGAGTCGGAAGATCGGTAGGCGATTAAAATTGAAAATGAACCCCAAAAGGGAAAGGATGAGAAGGCGCCAGGGAAGCAATAAAGACGTCCACGTGCATCCACTCCAGCCACAACTCCGTGGTGATTTATCGTTATTGAATGCACCGGTTAGTTCTGTCATCATTAGGTTCCGAGTTATACTTTTGCCACTGCATCTTCTTCAATGTGGAGGCAATTTTTCACCTGAGTCCTTACCATTATCATATCTTCCCAACATTAACATTTAACGCCTCAGGAAGAATCTAATACCCAGCTTATTAGAAGGCTACGATTTGATTGCGTCATTACTAGAAGCATATTTATGCTTCTGTCTCGTTTAAACGTCCTAATTAAGTTTTTGAAACTACAGTTTTTATGTCTTAAATAAATATTTGTGCTGAATCAAAATTATGAGCGTCTAACCAATTAGAAGAACCTATTTAACATTTATAAAAAACTTGGATTGTTATTTTTATAAAATATTAGTGGGAAAAATAGGTTTACACTACACAAAGAAAAGAGGCTGGTGCTTAGTGTTATTAATTATAATGCGTTGTGTTTAGTGACCGTGTATCGTGTTGGGAGTGCACGAGTATCGACTCATAAGAATGGCACAATTGCGCAGAAAACAAACACTTTAAGCCCTGAAGATGATCTCAACAAAGATCGAAACGTTAGCACGATAAAGGAAAGTTTTTCTGAAACCTACATCACACTAGACCGCATCTCACGATCTCCGAATAATCATTGACTAACGGTCCCTAATCACCACACGTTTCGATCTTTATTGAGATCACTTCAGGGCTCAATAAAGATCGCAACGTTGGCACGATAAAGAAATTTTTTTTCTAAAACCTACATCACACCAGACCGCATCTCACGATCTCCGAATAATCATTGACTAACGGTCCCTAATCACCACACGTTTCGATCTTTATTGAGATCACTTCAGGGCTCAATAAAGATCGCAACGTTGGCACGATAGAGAAATTTTTTTTCTAAAGCCTACATCACACCAGACCGCACCTCACGATCTCCAAATAATCATTAATTATAATATAATATTTTTCTTTTTGTTGTGTGTTATACGTTTGACGATTATAATTAGAATTATTGAGTTTATTTACATATTCGTGAATTTATTTACATGATTCATTTAAATGAAAACATTTGTACGAAAAATGTGAATATAATACTGAATTCTTGTATTAAGATAGAACGATTTTTTGAAGTAGAAATGTAAATTTTTGAGGTGCTTTCAAAAGAATTTCTTTTATTATGAAAACCGCAATATCCATACAATAATAAGAAGAAAAAGCTGAAGTAATGTCATTCACGCTCTTCAGTTTGTTCTACTATTTTTCCCTTTTTGACTTTTTCTTTTGTAAATATTGCCATATGATATCCTATTATTCTTGTACTATTCTTGGTTCATGTTGATCCGGCATTGGGGTCCATCTGAACGCACGGGTTTGACGAATTACCCAAATGCGTTCGGCATTGCGCTTCTTCAGTGAGGAACTTACTTTTTTTTTGTCTTTTTCGATGCAAAATTATGTAAACGGATTAATTCAAATCGGTCTTCTTACCGTTTCTTCTTATTCTTCTTCTGCTATATTCTCGTCTTTGATCTCTTTTTTCCATGAAATATTTTGGCAATAAACTAACCAACTAGGAATATTTTCTATCCAAATGTGACGAATACTTTGTCCACACGGTTGTCGTTCCTCTTTTTCTCGATCATCCGCCTAATCTCGCTATATGTCGTCTTAAAGACCACAAAAACCAAAGATGGCTTATGGAAATATACAGACCACAATGATCAAATTCGTTCAAATTGCTGACAAATCTCGCAATCAATTGCAAAAAATATCGTTTAGAAAGGAGGCCTTCAAGGATAATAGAAAAAAACTGTTTGCTTTGTTTCAGATAAAGATTTGGTTTCAAAACAGAAGGACAAAATGGAAACGCAAATACACTAACGACTTGGAACTTCTGGCACAGCAGTACTACAGCAATTTAGGCGTTAGTGCATCGCGACCAATTTTCATTGGAGATCGATTATGGTAAGGAAAAGATTAAAAATACATATTAGCATGTATATAAATATTTTCGATAAATAATGTATTTAAATGACATGGTTAAAATGATGATTGCAGGTTTTTTAACTGTCCCGGTGGGTCTTCGGTTGGAGGAATTCTGCCACCCCCTTTCCTACCCCACGCACAACCTTTGGCCAGTAACTTAATCCACCAGTCACCTTTTTCTGACTTCCCTTCTGTTCTGCCCCAACTGGATATACCGCCTTTACCATCAAGTCCGAGATAGTTTGGTCAATTGGATGTTTTTCTTCAATTTATTGATTTGGTTGATATTTTTCCACTAACGTTGAGGTGGATTTGCGTTTTTGAGAATAAGCTGGATATACATATTATTATTATTATTATTGATAGCGATTTCCCTTTGTTAATAATTTAAGTATTTAATTAAACCGAAAAACAATTGTAGATTCGAGCATTAATTTAAATAAAAGTTAAAATTTTGTTACAGGCGTGCTTTGCTTGCTTACCTTGAGCGTTCAGCTCTTTCATAATATTTTCAGCTTGAAACCAAATTATATTCTTCGTTAAAATTAAACTTTAAAAAATAAGGACGAAATGGTCGTGAGATGCCGTCTGGTAAGACGTAGGTTTTAGAAAAACATTTTCTTTATCGTGCCAACGTTTCGATCTTTATTGAGATCATCTTCAGGGCTCAAAGTGTTTGTTTTCCGGTTGATGTGTCATACTTGTGTGTCGTGTTGAGGGTGCCCTGACGGTCGCTAAACACCAAGCACAAAATAAGGACGAACTTGGCTTATTAGAGATATATGTCTAAATGTTATTTAAAAAATGATAAGAATATTCAATATCGCATAAGTAATTCATCAATGAGGGCACTTATTTAAAAAATGGAATAATAGTGAAGAAAATAGTAAGTATTTAACCATGCTTTAGATACTTAAGAAGCCAACTGAGTACAGTTTCGAAAAACAATGGTACTGAGCATAGAACCACATGTTAATATGCCATAGAGAAACCCCCATCCACAAATCTAGATTATACAATAAATACCCACAACTTAGATTTATTAGTTGCAGATGATTTTCGAGATCTGTTTTAATTATAATACGTCTATAGAACCCATAGGAGATCACAAGACAAACGATTTGTGGCAGTACTATTCTCAAATTTATAACAAGAAGGGCAAGAGATAATATGTTCTCTTTGAATAGAAGAATTTTGAATAACCAAAGATATGACCTATTTTCTGGAGTTGGTTGATACCAGAATGAATAAGATAATGACGAGAAATGCGATGAGTAATATGAAGAAAGTTTTTGATTTAGAGTGGAACTCGGAAATTTAGGTGAGAAAATAATAATGTATAATCGAATAATCTTCTTCCATGTTGTGTAGATATACCAAATATTATGAGAATCTGAAACTCTTCTGACAGACCGCAACGATTGGTAATGACCAAATTTCAGGTTTATTACCCCGCATATCGTTCAGACAACGCACAATGTTCTAATTTAACCGTTACTTACTTTAGTGACGTAACAGTTTCGGTCGAGACAACACGCGACTTTTTTAAGTCCTATTACCTCCTTGTACTGTAAAATGTGCTAAACCTCAGCTAAGTTGCTAAACCTCAGTGTTTATAGTTTGGAAGTTATTATTTCCATACTCGTAATTTATAAATTTATATAAAAAACACTTCTCATGTTGATAAAAAGATTAGAAGCTATTTATTCGGGGTATTAGAAGCCTTTTGATATTATTAGTTCTATATCAATCTGGCTTCTACAGCCGGAGGTAATGATTTTAATGTATTAATAATACTGAATAATGCGTACTTAAAGTAAATAAGCACTCAATTTTTTTTTAAAGAGCAATTTTTAGTTTAAAAGTGATAACTTGATAACATAAATAAGTTACTGTCAGCAGGAAATCAAACCAAAGTTTGTAAAGTTCCATTTTGAGTAAGAAGTTGTCTGTTTGAAGTTTGAATTTTTTTTAGAGATTTGGCCAATATGCTAGACCATAAGGCCAAAAAAATAGTTTGAAAATTTGAACCTTGTCAATGAAGCTATTTGTCTTTGTATTGCAAAAACATATGGTTATTACTTAATAACTAATAGACTAATACACTATATTATGTATGCAACATTTAGACAACAATTTTATTTTAATAACAGTGAGAAAAAATTATTGCTAGCCGTATGTTAACATACCTGTCAATTCCATAGAATATTTAATCGTATTAAATCCTTATGTATTTATCATGCAACATTATGTTAGGTGTTTGTAGCATATATCGTATATAGCACTCATAAGAGTGATTTACATGTAGTAGTAGGCACATGTTATCAGACCCTGAAGGGTTGTCACTCCCTAATTTGCCGACCCTAGTGTCTAAACATCAGGAAGTTCACCCATTCTGTTAGTAACTGGGTCGCTAGTTTAAGCCAGATACCCAGGAGATCGTCACTTCTCAACCAACAGGGTTAGACTCCAACAGGAGCTGTTGACAGCTAGGTCATTTCAGCCCCAAATGCATGCATAATCTAGCCTAATGATAATTATATTAGAGTCAATCGCACAAATAAATTTATTCATGCATTGCACTCGTTCTGATTAGTCAGTGGAGTACTGGATATTCCTCCATTGATCTGCTGTATTATTAGTCTAATTTAAATTAGGGTTGATGGGGTACTTTTATAAATATTTCACCATTGATCCTAAACACACTGCTAGGGGGGCGATTATGCGGCTATGTTTCACATCAACCCTCACCATACACACTAATAAATATACGGATTCAAACAAAACACAGATTATACGCAGTGAAAAAAACCCACATTCACATATACATCTGCTGTCCCAAACCCTCTTTAAAAAAATACAATTATGTACATTTGCATAAGTACTAGAGTGATTAAATAATAACACGCATGCTCTAAATTTTGAGCGATTGGTCTCAAATCACAATTGAAAAATATAATATAGCTTTGAACTACACGCCATTAGCTGGATCCTTCCTAAACCAATCCAAAATCCTTACTACAATACATAACAGTAAATACTGTTATGCGTTGTGAGTGAATGAATATATTTATTTGTGTGAATGCCAGTGTAAGAGGGTGGAATATTGAGTATCGCGTTAACCCTCAATTAAGGTAGTTATATAATAGGCTTAAAGGGTGACGGAGGAATTTCACGTACTAATTGAGTGAATTGGAACGAATGCATTTAAGAGAAAGTAAAAGTGTGAATGGGTTTGGTTTTAGAAACTGATTGCATTGAGGGCTGAAATGACCCTGTTGTTGGAAGCCCCCGGAGACCAACCTCGGCAGCTGGAAAATAAGACGGAGGTCTGACCCTGGACTGCCTGATTCTCAAGGCCTTCAGTAATTTATTGTAAATTATACAAGGTCGAAATACCGATGGACTGCGAGAAGTGATAGGTGTGTCTCTGTACATGCGTATGCTTTGTAGTTTAATTATTTACAAACTAGTCTCCCTATCCTCACTGTACAAGCCCCATTACCCCCCCCCCAAAAAAAAAAAATCTTACTAATTTTCAATCCTTTTAAAAATTCGTAATCGGCATTGATACTTGAACTTCGATACTGATAGTTTTATAAACTGATGCAGTACAACCCTAATGGCTAGTGAAGTTCTAGAATTTAAATTATTAGCTCTCTGTCACCAAGAATGTCATTGTGGACCAATAATTATTTTGTAGTTCTTAAAAAAGTAGAAATGTACATCTTTCAAAAATGCAACCATTGTTAATAATAAAAATAAATAAATAAAAAATTAACAACAATGTTAATTTTAATGTGTGTTTCTTACTAACCTTTGTTCATAATTCGTTGAAGTAGTGAGGAACGGTCAAGAATGAGGTAATTTAGTGTCTAACAACATAACAATTTCACACAACATCTATATGTCACCACAAGAATAGCACCACACTTTATACCCTGAAGATGACCCGAATAAAGGTTGAAACGTCGACAAAAAAACTACCTCATTCTTATCTTCAACGAAGTTCATTTAAATAATTATTTTACATACATTTAATAATTGATTTATATTTAAATTTAATGTCCATCAATTTGAGTTCAATAATGATAGTTGCTTTCTTTATAAAATTGTCATTTTTCAGACCATGTTTCCAACAAGCTCACAAAAGAAAAATTGGATGTTTAAGGATGAAGGGGAGCTTCAAACTCTTAGAGCTGCTGCCAATAGAAATTACATTGAAACATATCAAGACAAATTGGAGGTGAATTATGCATTTACAATAAATATATATATTTTAATAGCACACATGGTTGCCCAGTTGCATCAGGTTAAGAAGATTAGATTTTTTTCCATTTACTTTTACTAATAAACGGTATTTTGTTTTTAGAATGTATGTATATGTATATAGATTGCCAAAGCCAGAAGAGGCAAAATAAAATAAATAACATAAAAAACTATTATGTTCTCTGGTTAAGTTATTCCATATTAATGTTTATGTGGAGCCACAGTAGCGAGGTTAGGGCTAGGCTCTGCTCAAAAATCCCATGGTCGTGGGATCAATTCCCACCATTGCCCCTGACATACCAGGCTATTTGTAGCCATTTTATTATTTTATATATCAGTAAAATTCAATATTGTTAAAAACAAGAATTACTCTACAGCTTTACAGGAGCAGCACTGATATTTCAGTTTTATTACCTTTTCAGAGATTTATAATGTTTAATTAATTTTTATTGCGTTATTTTTTAATTTATTTAGATTGCACAGTAACTTTTCTTACATAATATTAGCATTTGATGAAAAATGTTAATGTGCGGTATAGAACCGTAGAATACCTGTAAAGCTAACAATAACCAATGTTTCCAATCCCTTCAATCTCAAATCCTTAGATGAATTATAAATGGTCTGTGTTAGTGTTAAAATGAGCCTCCACCTCCACAATGAGCTTGAAATCCTGCTTAACTCAAAAATAATTTTTCAAAAATTGTCCAGGTTTCGCAGTAAACTCTCCCATCACTCCAATAGTTTTGTTCAAGCCTTGTCTAATATATCCTCATTTATACATTCCTACCATCGTACAAAGCGTCATCTTAGCAAAAATGGCCCCTTTACTTCTTTCTGAGGAATAGTGGAATCAAATAAATGAGAAGTTTAATGTGAGAATAACATCGATTATTTACACCTCTCACTGTTACTACGTACGCATAAGCTCTGTATCATTAAATTAAATGTTGTAACAATCTATTTAAAAAATAAATAGTACAACAAATTTAACGTAAATAATAAATGGATTTGGAAATAAATAATGATGATCAAAACCTACACATAAATTTAGCCTCAAAGTGACACAATAAAAAAATATGTAGTAATAAATACAAAAGATAAAGAGACCAGTTAAATAATTAAATGTTATGATAATTGGCAAAATTGTGTATGAAGATATCTCTCAGTAAGTGCCTGAAGGACCAAATGAATCTTGCTGATCTGAAAATCTCAATTTTTTACTTATTATATACTCTAAAACTTATTATTAAATTAAATTATATTCAATAAAAAATTAATTATATTCAATAAACTAATATTTAACTTTACACTAATTGTTTCAAATATGAATCATTATTGAACCCATTCTAGCATTTTTCCTAAGTTGATTTGTCAGAAAATCAAATATCTTTTATTGATGTTATTTTATATTATGGATCCAGCCAGCAGCAAAACAGGCCATGTTGAATATGGAGGAAGAAAGAACGTTGCTTAAATTTTACGAGTTACAAATGAGGGATTTATGCCGGCGATTCCAGCCGCCTATGCCAAGAGCTGTAATTGGAACTGCATTTCATTACTTTAAACGATTTTATGTCAACAACTCCGTCATGGATTATCACCCAAAAGAAATATTGTAAGTATTTCGCTGTTATCTTTCTTCAAAATGATAGAATTACTGAAGAAGTGTGTTTTTTTTTGTTTTTTTTAATTTGCTGATTGTATGTTAAAATAGTTGCTGAAATCAAACAATACATTGTACAACTGTGTGTTGTTAATGCAAAAGTATAAAATTTAGTTTTTTCAAAATAAATTTCTGTTGATATTGTTGTTTTCAGTAAATTTGTTTTTCCTATTGTTTTATTTTATTGGAATGTAAATAATACCAAAAGGATTATTCTCAATAATAGGTAGTTTTATTAATACACATATTGCATTTTATTCATCACAATTTATTAAAAAAAGACATATCTAGTGATAGATAAAAAAAATAACTGCAATAAAAGATAAAACCTATCTAAAAGATATATTGCCATTAACATCCTCTGAATCTGTATCCCCTATTGCACATTTCATGTGGGTATGTGTGACTTTTAATGTATGCATTTTGTACATTGACAGGCAAAAAATTTCGCCTACTTGATTCTTTGATTTTTTCTACCATAACTGCCCTAAATTTTTTTTAATCTTTATACTGTGTTGTTTTGTTTCAACAAGTAAAATATAAATGCAAATTGCTAAGAAAAATGTAAAATATAAATACATTGGTTTTTGTGGTCTGCTTGACCAATTAATATCTTTCAATAAATTAAGGTTTTTAGTTGAGATAAAAAAGTCAGTGTTACGATAGGGATTCGAACCCACGACCTTCGGCTAGATACACCGCTACCACTTGAGCTATCGTGACCTTGATCCACTCAGACACTAACTTCCCATCTCAACCCCACCTTTCGAATTTTCCCTCCTTTTTGCCATTTTTGGCCAAGTGGATCGAGGTCACGATAGCTCAAATGGTAGAGCAGCGGCGTATCTAGCTGAAGATCGTGGGTTCGAATCCCGCTCGCACTGACTTTTTTATCTCAACTAAAAACCTTAATTAACTGTAAAATATAAAAATGAACATTGATATTAAGGAGGCGTTCCAGGCTGCATCAGTTTAGGCGTTGACATGGCCTTCATCACTGTAAGGTCCTAGGTTCAAATCCAGCAGCCCTGCAGTCAAACCCAACATTCAAATGGGTTTTTCTTCCCCCCCCCCAAAAAAAAGACCTCGTAGTTGAAATACCCTTGTTAAAAAAAATAAAATGAAATAAAATAAATAAATAAAAAATATTTAAAAATAAAAAAATAAAATTGAAATTAAATGAAGAAAGCACAAAACTAAACAATCAATTTGGTTGAAACTCAAATGTGACAATCGAAATTTTAAATTCCATCAAAATTAAACATAAACACACGAAAGTAAAGTAAACAATAAGGATTAAGTGTATTCACCTGCGTATGGCATCCTAATTTAGAAACCAGTATAAACAGATAAAGAAAATGAGAAAAAAAGTCAAAAAATAAAGTAAAAAACCAGTAGGCTGTATTTTTCGCCTGTCAGTATAGATGCATCCATGTCGTCCAATTAGGATTCATAGCTTTTAAACTTTTTTTTTTTTTTTTTTTTTTTTTTAAAGTTTATTGAAATTATTTTTTCTAGGGTTACTTGTGTTTATCTTGCCTCTAAAGTAGAAGAATTTAATGTATCTATTGTCCAATTTGTTGCTAATATAAAAGGAGACAGAGAAAAAGCCGCTGATATTATAATAAATAATGAGTTACTTCTAATGCAGCAGCTGAATTATCATTTAACTGTTCATAACCCCTTCAGACCTGTTGAAGGATTCCTTATAGACATTAAGGTAAAATATTTTTCCAAATATTTTTTTTTAATTTTTAAGTAACTGTCTTTTCACATTAAGGTGCGAAGCCAATTAGACAATCCAGAAAAACTTAGAGGTGGCATCGATGAACTATTGGACAACTTATACCTGACTGATGCTTGTTTGCTGTATTCTCCATCGCAAATCGCTTTGGCAGCGATACTTCATTCTGTTAGTAAAAACAAAGAAAATCTGGATGCTTATGTTACACAAACACTGCTTGGAGGGGATGCCAGTCGCCTTACAGACCTCATAGAAGCCGTACGGAGTAAGTTTGAATCCAGCTTGTATTGATATTTTGAACTGGCACTGGGTCACTTACCGGGTCTGTCTCCGTTTTGGCTGTGCGCACTCATTTGAGAATTCTCTCAGGTGTGTATGGGATGAGTACGTCTTAACCTGAACACCTCAGCCCAATCTGAAATGAATTGGTACATGAAAGTGAGCAGTTCAATTTTTCATTTAGTATGACAAAAATTCGATCAACTTTATCTCATGTTGTATGCTTTTGAAAATTCTTTTAAAAAAATCATAATTCGTTCATTTTGTTTGTTTCACAGATATACGTGTCTTGTATAAAATAACCGAACCGCCATCGAGGGAATATGTTAAGAGCCTGGAAAAAAGGCTGGAATTATGTCGAAATGAAGAAAATAATCCAGACAGCCAAGTGTAAGCAAGAGTATAAAGCATATAATGGTTTCTTGGGAATAATTTTGTATGGTTGTATATTAAACATGATCATTCTGGATTATCTTGGCTGGCCTAAGATTTCTCTTTGTTTTTTTGGTCAAACTTTTCAAGTTCATTTTTCTCATGTTTTCTAGCTTCTGAAATTTCGAAATCCAGAATGAGTAGATCACGATCAAACTGCTAGATGTAATTGTTTTGACAAAATTAAATTATAAAATAAAAGTCAACACGTTTCAATTAAGTTTATCACCAACTACCAGTTATTTTTGAATTTCTTATAAATGAGACTTAACAGTCATAATTTTTAATCACAAATAATCTGGATCTTGTATGGTCTTGATGAAAAACAAATTCAATCGCTACTGCCAAGGTTTCAGTCTATTTTAAGGTCACCATCAGGGCCTGTTATTAATTATACAATATGAATACATTTTTGTACATTTTATTCATTAATCAATATTACTATACTATATGTTACAAAACCATCTTAAATATGTCTACAAATTGACATAATTAAGTTTTTAATAACATCGACATTTTTAATGTTTTATTGTTCATTTTAGATACAAGGAAAGGATGCATGGGTTGTTGGATGACGAGGACGAAAGAGCATCAAGGAGATATTCAAAAGCCACAAGAAAATCTCAAGGGCAGAGCGATTCAAAATTATTGGGTGTAAATACAATTCCATCAGAGGAAAAACATTAATAATTATTTATTCGTAATTAAGTTTTGTACCTAATGAGTTGAACAAATGTGTATAAATTGTATATATTATATTAATTATAGCTATGTGCGCAACTAACTAAACAAAAAGAGATGAGTTTTTAAACTAGTATTTACCCTACTGTTTTTGTTTCATTGAATTTATTATTTTTCAGTTCTTACATGAGCACAGTTTATTACATGAATTTCTTTTACATTCAGTGAGGTTTTCAGTTAGACCAGTGTGGTGTATCCCATTACACGAAAATTCCTAAAACAAAATTTTTTTAAACTAATTGTGTACCAATCATGGGATAAAAACTAGAGCGCATCATCTGCTGGCAAGTACTATTGAGCTTTATTTCCAAAGATTAAAGCAAAACTTGGTTTTTGGAAGGAGGCGGACAAAAATAGGATGGAAACTAACCATGGCCTATGGGGGAGCTATATGTATAGAAAAGGAATAAGTACATCTCCCAACTGTCCTACATGCAACAGTCCATCAAATATTAGAATGCCCAGAAACAATTTTCCGATGATCGGGGGATGAAGATAGTGCATGCAAATTTTTGTAAAAGACAGAGGAAAGTATAAGAAAGGAGGCAGCCATCACCTAGGCTTCTGGTGCGGGGAGCCCTGGAGGCCTCTGAGGGTCCTTTCATTTTTCCACCTTTACAAAAATAAAAATAAACAATCATTTCAAAAAATCATGGCGATATTTTCAAAGGAACCCCCCCCCAAAAAAAAAAAGAAGTTTTCAGTTCCTTTTTCTACTTTGTTATTTTAACATTTACGTAAATTGTGGAATAGTTTTGGGGTGTGACAATTTATTGTTTATGAATTCTCTGCCAACCGTTGAAGATTGCGAAATGCTGAAATTCATATGACAGACTAAACAAGCAAGAATAATCTGATCAGTATGACCAGGGACAATAGATACATTTATCGAAAATAACTTTTATCAGCAGAATTATTAAGCCTTTAAAAGACATTGCACAGAAATGATTAACATGTATAATTTATTCTATTAACTACTTATATGATATTTTGTCAATAATATAATTATTCAATTAATTAAGGTTTTTATTTGAGGTAAAAAAGTCAGTGTCACGAGCGGGATTCGAACCCATGACCTTCGGCTTGGGATTATTGTAATCATAATGTAAAATCATTCGTTTAGGTACATATTAAAATATAGGTTAGAATAGAAAATTTCTTTTGCCAGTTTAACATATATACATCAGTATGTACAGCAGGGTGCATATTTTATTTTCGAGCCGACATATTATTTACTTAAGCAGCCCATAGACGGTCAATATTATTGCACAATATTTTGGGTTGTGCAATTTAATTGATCGTGTGTAGACGATATTGAAAGTTTGTGCAATACATTGCATGATTGACGAAAAGTTGAAAATATATTGTACAACCTGGAAAATATTGCACCGTCTGTTGGCATTATTGCACAATATCAGTCAGTTTGTGAAGTATCAACAAGTGGAAAATATTGCACAAATTTCAATATCGCCTTCAAACTATTCAAGCTCATTGCACAAACAAAATTTTGTACAATATTATTGAACGTTAAGGGGCAACCGTCAAATTATTGTGCGATCTATATTCCGTCTATGGGCCGCTTAAGGTTAAGGTAACCTCTCTTTTATTATTATTTATTATTTATTTATTTGACGTTGGGGGATTGGTATAGAATTACAATATTTTCCTCCATTGCGACCTAAGCGGGTGTTGTGGAACCCCTATAAATTGTAGCATTGGAAAGTGCATTTTTTCTTATTAGACGGAGCACATTCCTTGGTGCCTCTTCGCAGACTTCTTTTGTCTGGTGTGAGAAATGTCAGCCTCTTTTCTATTATTTTGAGCTCTTTGTTAAGGCTTTTTATCAGATCCCAAAGCTCTGTTAAGGGTTCCCATGTATCCTTCAGGCCTAGGGTTTTCCTCTCCCAGGAGTAAGAGTGAATCTCAGCCTGCATAGGCCATCACACCATGTTCTACTGTTTCTTCTTTCCAGCGATATCTCCACTACTACAATCATTCTAGTCTTAACAAACCTTAGAAGTACTGCTGTTAGTTTCTGCAGGTGCTTTGATGAACTTTTTTGCTATTTTGTGTCCTGGAATACAATCTCTTTGAACGGAGAACTTATTCTAAACCCATTATCTGATAGATCTAGTTTTTGGCAATTTATATGTAACAAAAGGGTTCTTTCTTTTGCCATTATTTGCTGGCCTCCTCCTCCTTTCCCCCTTGCCTTGTATAAAAAATAATATTTAAAAAGTAAATAATTTTTTAGTCTTTCCTTCATAAAGGAGTGCTTTGTATCCAACTACTTATTGGGTGTCACGGAGAAAGGGTTGGCCCACTTTAATTAAAATGCTTTCTTTCAAATTATTCTCAAATAAAATTCTAGGTCTAAACTAATGTGCTGTTGAGTTCAACAATAAAACTTGTTAAAATGCACATAGTAAATATGTCAAGAGGGCTAAAATGGTGTTCAAGCTCAACTTTCAAATATTTATGTGTCGCTTGTGGGTGGAGCATGTGTGACATTCAGAGATAACCGGCCAAGGGTCTCAAGAGCAATAACTCTCTTGAAATTTATTAACGGTTTGCTACTGTTGTAATTAGGAGCGGCGATGGGGTTCCTGGCTGAAATACTAGCTTTTCACATGCAACCATCCTGTTCTCAACGATAAATTCAAACCTAGCTACCGGCCACTGATTTTTAATTGAGTCAATTGGCTATTATACTTAAATTTACAGAGATGAAATTTTCTTTTATTGTATATGAACATCATTATATATTTCACAGAATACAGTCTGAACTGTGTAAGGTGTTTGATGTGATAAGGGTAAAACAATCTTAAATATTTGTACAAATTGATATAATAAAAGTTTTATTACAATAGATGGTTTCAAATTTCTTCGAAGATTAACTCAGTCTGAACACCACATTGCCAGTGGATTGTATGTACATTTGAGGAGAGAAAATTGGATAGCTTACTTACAAAAAACAAAAAAAAAAAACAATGAGATATCAGGCAAGATTGCTATATAAGTAATCTCGATTTTTTAACCATAAAATAAAAATGTAAATGACATTAATTACTAATACTATAATGTAAACTAAATGACTGTACATCTTGTAAGGGTTTCCTGATGATGGGCAGATAAAGGAAAAACAGCACAAAACGTAGAAGACAAATGTGAAATAAATTAACCAGTAACAAAACTTTATTTTAAAGCAAATCCTTTTTATGAAAAAAAGGTTTAAAAATATACAGTTACTGTTTTTTTTCTTTTTTTAGTAGGAAAATGATGAAATGAAATAATCAAGGACAAGTCAACCCTAAATTAACAAACAATTTCTAACAAATGATGAATAAAGACTAATACTACTACAAGTAGCAGACAAGGTTAGAAAAAAAATTTCAGCTGTTATATTGTACAAACTTCAGATCTTCAACTATTTTATAATTAATAAAAACCTGTTGTGTAATGAAAAAATTGAATAAACAAATAAAAAAGGATAAAAGAGTAACCAATAATTGCATGCAGATTTCAATTATAAATAAAATAGGCAAATCTATAATTTGTTCTCAAAATAGTGTATGTATCCGGCATGCGAAAAGAGGTTGCTCGATGTGTCCCACCTAATTGAAGGGTGCAATTCTTTGGCTCCATATAGAGAGCACATAGGAATGTTACCTGATATGAGAATGTATTTATTAGCGGGAATGCGTATTGTGTGACAGGGTTGATGGCAGAATACCCCATCGACTCCCATTAGGTTAGTTACATAATGTAGAGAGTGATGTAGGAATATTGAGTACTCCACCAAGTAAATAAGTAAGTACTTAAGAGTGAGTGAGAGTATGAATGGATTTAGGAACTGATTGTGTTCGGTGCTGAAATGACCTAACTGTTGACAGTACCCAGTGCATCGGTAGCTGGATGAAAAAAACAGAAGTTTGACCTCGGTTTGTCAACACTTGGAGCGGGTTATTCTCTAGGCCTGCCAGTCATTGTGAAGTGCAAAAGCTAGTGGCCTGCAAGAAGTGGAAGGCTCAAATATGTACAAATGTGTTGTGCTTATATAAATCAGTAATCAGTCTTCTCAAATTAATTAAATAGGTGATTATAATCAAATGTATACGAATATATCCAATTAGTGAAATACTAAAAGTTAAGTTGGTAGTAATTCGTGCTATATTAAGCAAACTTTTTTGAAGATTGAAGAACACATCTTTGATAATAAAATAAAAAGTATGTACATCTTTGTGACCACTGCCCACTGAGAAGACACCTCTCCGTAATAGGTATTCTACCAGATCCCTTTTGCCGTTTTGCGAAATAAAAGAAGAAACGGCAAGGCACTACCTCGGAGAGTGTGATAGGTACGCTAGGTCTAGATTTAAAAACTTTAAAGGAGAACCAAATCACTCCCTGAGATTAAATGGTCCAAAATCTTTGGGTTTGTGAACAGGTCCAAGAGATTTATGCAGCCAACCAAGTCCCGGACATTTTAGGGATGGAGGACGAGTCTACCCAGGCATTTAACCCCTTGGGTCTTGGTTGCCCACCCTGTATAATATAAATATGTACATCTTTGTAGTACTGCTTTAAAAAAAATCTGTTGTATTATAGAATTTTGATGGTGAAATTATGCTCGGTATGATAGTTATTATACTGCAAATCAAAATTTAGAATTTCGGATTAAATTTAGTGTATTTTATGCCACATCGAGATGGTAAAAAACTCAAAATATCTTATACAAATTGCCATAATTAAGCATTAACTGTTAGATAAAACCAAAGGTGTTCTTCAATTTTAAATTATATTAACCAATTATAGACATTAGTCATTTTTAACTTATCTTATTGAAGAAATGTCGCATTTTTTGCTCGTGTTTTTCATATTATTATTACACATTATTTAACACCAATGTCGTGATTTCTTTTTTTTTTCTGGCACGCCATTTAATCCTTATCGATGAGGCATAGCAGATTAGCAAATTTATTGTTTAGATTTTCGTGCAATTTATTGCTTCATACACTTACAGCGCGTTCTGGCTGTTCAAACACTGCCGAAAATT